TAAATTAATTTGTTATACAGTAAACACAGAGACTCTTTGTAAATATGTATGATGAATTACACATCCTTACATTACGCTTGTGAAATGCTTCTAAAAGAATTTCAGCTGTCGTAGGTTACCCGTGGTCTAAACCTTGGGTTCCGAGTCAAGCGAGCCTCGAATCCTTTAACTGGATTTAGAGCGTCACTGCGCATATGCTCATTGAAATACGATCAACTATATCTGGGTGCAAATGCATATTGTATCTCTGGCTGGAACTGTTTGTCGTGAAAGCCACGAATTGGCCTGCGTGTCTCAATGTAGACTAACGCTTAGTCTCTGAATATAGAATTTTGATAGGAACAAATAATTCCTCTTAAAAAGAGCTCCTGTCAGATGGGAACTGAACCTGTGGAAATCTAGACTTGCTTCATTAGGGTTTTAGCACTGCATAAAGGACTGGGCGAAAGGAAATATTATGCGGTTCAGGGACTGTGAGACAGACTAGTCTCGATGTGACAGCAGGTGGTAAGCTGACACTGGGACCATTATCTTCTCGGGGTGCAAGTTCTTCCTCAAGTTACATGTCCCGGAGCCTCGATTTGACAGTCATAAGATAACTCATTTTTCAGAACGAGGCACAAGAAACATTTACTGACCCATTCGTCACCACTCGCCCATTTCCGTAATTTGAAGAAGATTCGTTTGGTAGCTAAGGACAAAAATGCCAGGATGAGTCTATGAGTGACTTTTAAGTACCTTGGTGAAAGGCAAGTTGATATCTAAAAATATGCCTATATAAGACTTTGATTTCTTTTTGCCGGCTCGCACTAAGACGGAGCTCAGTCAATAAGAGCGGGTCAGTTGAGTTGACGTTTGGTTTGTCTAAGAATGAAACAAGTTTAGAGAACTTGAACGCCGTTCATCTCTCCTTTTTAGAAAGTAAACAGCAGTTAGTTTTGCCGCATTCGTATTCTTTGAAAGAGGATCCAGTCTTCTCTATTCACAGCGCTGAAGTACTTTTTGCTGTTATTTCGTTTGTTCTCAGTCGCAAACTATTAATCTCAAATGAGTCTTTAAGTATGGATGACTTCCGAAGTTTAAAGCAATATTACACGGGGGACAGCAAGATGTGTTTCACCCGGTGTAGTACGTGGTTTATAGCCGCTTTCAGTTTTATGAACTTGATGCGAAAGAATGCACAGCGAATCAGAACGAATCATGTATTCGAACTTACAGTCACAGATTTGAAAGAGGATAAATAAAATAATAATAAAAGCTAATGCCTTAGACGACTGAACCAACCTTTTTCTTCTTTCACCTATTGTAATCATGTTTCAAAATCGTACTCAGTTTCCACCGTGAAATTGACATTCTGACCTACTTTGCTAAGGGCCGTCCGAATCCTTTTTATAAAAATCATTAATGAAAGTTACGACTGAAAAAGTCTTTCATAAATAAGGTAATTTCAAAAGTTGAAAAATCAAACAAATGTCATTTCAGTTTCAATTAAATTCGAGATGTTGAATCTTTAAATTTTGTAAAATAGTAATTTTGAAACAGAGTTGCTGATACGGGACTATGTATGACCTCTTTACATTGACATCCGCCTCTCAACTATAATCTGTTTCGCTAATCTACCATCAATGACTGCTGCTATGTGCTTTTAAAGGTTTATGATACATGTACAACTATACTGATGCTCTCCACCATCCTTTGAGGTACAAAAGACCTTTAATGTGTAGGATTACTGTACGAGCTTCTGCAATTAATGGCATTTATTTCAACCTTTAAAAATCAATGGGATGACATAGATTGGACCTTCGAAGAAAGATGAACTTATACATGAAATGTCAAACAGATAAATTGGAAGAGACATGCTTCAGAAATGATTATAGCTGGTTTAATTTCAGGTCGAGATATATTCTTAACATGTCTGTATGTCCGATGCTGCTGATTGTGATGGTTACACGAACACGTGATTTTTAAAGGGAGAGATTTCTATACTTTGCATGGCTTTTTCGTCAATTCGTTCGTCGTTTAAAAGAATATAGTTACGTTACTTAACACGAGAATCGGCTTTACATGTCGAACTCACCAAGAGCATCCGTACAGAATTGATACGCATAGTTACAAATGATCAAACAAGGAGCTGAAGCGGATATGTCCTTGTTGGGTACACGGAAGCATTGAAGGACGTCCATCTTTTTAAGTGGGGTCGAAGCAGTGGGAAATGTTCTTTTAAATCCTTGTAAATTAGGACATGGAGACATAACAGCAGCTACAACACGTAATGGATTGAGTTTCCTGTTGCTTCTCTGTCAGGAAGTAGAACTCTTAATTCATCCTCGATTTTCAAGGGAATTGTATATCATCGTAAGATAATTACCATGGACCAATTCTCCTCTATGAGGAACCCGTGAAGATCCGGGTTAGAATTGGTCTTTAGTAACCCATGCTTGTCGTAAGAGGCGACTAACGGGATCGGGTGCTCAGGCTCGCTGACATGGTTGAGACATGTCATCGTATCCCAGTTGCGTAGATCGATGCTCAAGCTGTTGATCACAGGATAGTCTGGTCCAGACTCGATTATTTACAGACCGCCGTCATATAGCTTGAATATTGCTGAGTGCGGTGTAAGACAACAACCAACCAACCAATCCTCCATCAGGTCAGGTAGCCAAGAGGTCAACGCGTTAGTTCGTCACGCTGAAGACCTGGGTTCTATTCCTCACACGCCGTGATGTTGCTGGAATACTGCTAAAAGCGGCGTAAAACCAAACTCAGTCAGTCTAGACAATTTTCCTCACAGGGATTCTTAAGTTGTTTGTGTGAAGCCCATTTCTGGTGTCCCTGTCGTGATATTGCTGGAATGGTACTAAAAGCTGCTTACAAACATTCTCTCTTTCCACCATGGTGGATGGGTGAATATTGTTTTACGCCGCATATCAGCAATCTTGCACATACCATAAGGAATCGTATCAAGTCGGTTCGACCTACACGATGCTAAAATTAGAAGTCCAATAAAAATACTCTGTTCTTTGACGATTGCTACAAGAAGCAACATCACAAGGACGGGACATGACTCAGATACGACCTGAACGTGATGAAGCATAAGGAAGTCCTCTTTTGACTTAAGACTCACGGAAATATCTTTTCCTTTATATCGCTTTCTGGATTGATTACACATATGACTAGCTTGAACGATGTCACTGTGTTGAATTTAGATCCATGCCGAACTCATGAATGCTAAGCTTATGAACATCTTTGTAAAGTTTGTGTTTGTTGGTTGTTAAACGCTAGGCAATGTTCCAGATATATGGCGGCGATCTGTAAATAGTTTGGACCGATCGGATCTGGAACATCGACCTATAATGTACGCAAATGGTATACGATGGCGTGTGTTTACCAAGTCAGCGAGCTTGACTCCCCGATCCCGGTAGTCGCTTCTTACGACAAGCACGGGCTGCTGAAGACCAATTCTAATCCGAATCTTCACGGATTGCAAAGTTTGTGATAAGTGATATGAAGGTCATCTAAAATTGGGCTATGGTGGCGAATGAGCCTATTACATGTGTATTCCATCATTCAAAACCAGATCCTAGGTCACGATACCGGTAAACAAAAATCAGAGGACATTCGATTACAGGTCACGTTCCATACCGGGAAATATGGAATTTCCTCAAACAGTGAATAGTAATTCATTCAGGATAGTCAGATAATTGTCGTTCTTCGTATCTTTCTGTGATTGGACTAAGTTGCTCTATATACTTAATTACTCATTGTCATTTCAAGATGAATATGAAGGGTCACGTACTAAATGTCAACCCTGTCAATGACGTCAACTGTTGTTCCCGAACATCTGGTGTCGTCATTGATTTTAAGTAATAAAATACCATTCATCCGTATTCCGCTCTATGGAAACTTTTCCGGCGGATAATCGAGGCTAATCATTCTCTAGCGTTGATGCTTTATGTTATTCAGATGATGTAACGTTACAAGTTTGCTACGTTAATAACAACGGACGACCTCAACAGTGAATCAGTGTGACGTCATATCGCTTCAGCTAGCCAATCAGCATCGAATGCCACTTTAATACCAATGTTGTTAAACTCGGTCGTTGAAAAATAATAAAAAAAGGTAAATGATGTTTCATTTCGCACAGCATTGACAAAACTTGAACAGTATTCATAATGTGTCGATCTCGGAGGTTCTCATTCCGTTTTAACCAGCTTTCTAATTAGATTGAGATACATAATTATTAATATTCTTGTTTTACTGTTTCGCACTCACATTCAGAAGATTATTACCAGCTGACCACACCGAACCATAGATAAAACTAGGTTAATTTGGAGGAAGATTCATCTCGAACACAATCACGAAATGTCAACCCATGACAAGGGTCCGTCTTGGCTCCCACAATCTTCACAGTTATGTATGAAATGAGCGTCTGAAGATCGTTATGAAAGTGATCACAAGTGTTGATGTGAATGTACAGTTAGTTAAGACTAAGTTGTTCTCAAGGAGCGGGTTTTAGCTATTTTAAGGAAGTTTTATTTAAAATATTATTTGAATATGATCAAGTGTTCGTGAAACGTTTATTTCCTTTGGAGGCATTGCTGAGGACAGTTAAAAACGTGGATAAATATTAAATATTAAATGAAGCAAAATTAACCAAAACGCGACACGTGACAATGCGACAAATGGACGAAAAATGTCGCGTGTCGCGTTTTGTTTTATTTTGCCTCACTTTACATGTTTTTGAGAGGGCGACGATGCGACATAGCGACAATGTCCCTTCTCGGATTCCATAGATTTTAGTCTTTTGTGTGGATTGAAACATGCAATTTCAAATGCAGCTCACAACTACACGTCTTGTAGATTAAGGAGCTGCTATTCTACCTTGTACTTTGTTAAACATCTGATTAAAATATTATCTATTTGAGACATGCAAAAACATTTTTAAACCATGACGTTTGAGTATATCAATGTGAAAAAAACATTTGTCAAAGTGTACTTACCGATGTAAAGTCAAGTTTTAAGTGTTTCAAGTTTGGATCATAGAGCAGCCGAGATGGCTCAATGTTGATTGGTGATTGTTGGTGACCTAATTTACACATATTCCAATCAGGATTGAGTATTCCCCAATAGTCCGGGCCTGCAACAAAAAATACATTAAACAGAATGTTATGCGTTTTCAAACAGAACACAAGGGAACTCGTTAATATATGATATATAAAATAATACTTATATAGAATTTCTGGCAAATTTATATGTACTTTAAGAAAGGTTAAACACCAATCCGTCTATTATTCATATATCCTGAAATGCCATATTTGGGAAATATGTACATTGACATTTCTCATATTTTGCAAAAAATAAGATTGAATACTTGCTGAAGCGTTAACACAAGGTAACAGTATGTTATCCCCATATTGTCAAATACTAAGTCATATCATGACTTGGGAAACAGTTATAAGGAAAGTCAAACAACTATAGCCTTGGACAAACTGAAAATAAACACGTCATTAGATAATGGACATTTGCAGTCGGTACAAGTAACGGTGTGGTGGACTGCTGGCAAAATTATTCGCCCGTCATACCGATTCAGAACACTGGTACGTACCCCACTCACCCAATCAGTCAGCCACAATGTGTAGGTCGCTTGTACACAAAAACAACGATTTGTTTCGAAAAGTATGAACCTGCGTACGTGTGCGTGCGTGCGTGCGTGCGTGCGTGCGTGCGTGCACGCATACATACATACACTGTTTATATCTATTTACAAGGTCCTTGACTATAAATTTCAAATCATCACAGTACAGCTGCTTGTGTAATTTGAGCAACAGAGTGTCATCTTTCATCATCCTCTTCATATAAACCAGAGAAAGTTGACGGTAACGCGTCCAGCATATCAGTATTAATATTTTACAAGAAAAAATCCCTTCCTGCTAATAGAAAACGACAGTTAAGGAAAGATACTGTAACTATTGCGTGTGTGAATTCCATCTCTCTCCCGTTCAGCAAAACAAATCTAGTGCTGAAACTTTATCCAGGAAATAATGATATTTTTCAAGGGTTGAAACCTAGATAGGGCTGACCTATATTAATGAACACTTTCTTCCGACGCGCAAAGACTATACCAATCTTTCTCTGACAATTTATCAGGTGTGACAATGGAACGTGACGTTTGTTCGATAAAGGTTATTGTTAGATTAATATATCAAAAACATTCTCTGTGGTGATGTTTATTGGTCATAACTGACAGATAATTATAATTATGATGATATGGACTTTATAGCTTTATGTTGTGAACATGACAAACAGCATGAGAAGATAGACCACGGCCGACCATTCAATGAGTGAGTGAGTTGGGTTTTACGCCGCTTTTAGCAATATTCCAACAATTTCACGGGGTGGACACCAAAAATGAGCTTCACACATTGTAGCCATATGGGGAATCGAACTCGGATCTTCGGCATGACGAGCGAACGCTTTAACCACTAAGCTACCCCACCGCCCACGGACCATTCAGTGACACGTTGGGAAAAGAAATGTGCCTCGAATTTTTCCCCCAAAGTAATAGTTCACTGGTTTACTTGTGAAAATAACATCTGTTTTGTGGATCTCTTAAAAATGTTCCACTCCACCTTTTAGCGAAAACAATGTTGTTTTTACGCTGTGAGAATCTAAATATAAATACAAATAATTAAGCTTGTGAGATCAAAGAAAATTGTGTAAGAATGTCAAATGGAACCTTCAGTCCATTATAAAACCAATACACATCAAATCTTCAAAGAAGAAATAACCGGTTCGAATGATTTTTTATCAAGATATTAATGTGATAAATTGGTACATTTGCCATGGAGTATATAGATAAGGTGAAATGGATTTTAATGTCACATTCAAAATTATTACACATAGAGCTACGTGCGCCTGCGTTCATGCGTTCGTGTGTGTGTGTGCGCGCGCGTGCGTGTGTGTTTCTGTGTGTACTGCCGGTCATATGAAGGACATTGGTGTTACCCTACAAGGATGCCATACCATAAGTGAGGTGAGGTGAGGTGAAATTTAACGTCGTGCTTGAGAATATTTCGCTCATATGACGACGTGCATGCCTGTGTATGTGTAGGTGTATGTGCGGCTGCTTGTACTAGCCGAGACTGAAGCTGATTTTATAGTGCTAGCCCACTGAGATACGCCATACCATAAGTACATATATGGTATGACCAGATATTACTGAGAATTTTAGGAATATGTTTAATTGGATTTCTAATATAAACAACCTTGACCAGCTATCAAGTGCTTGGTTTCATTCAAGAGAGACAACTCCGTTGATCCTTTTTCATTAGTTTGTGAAGAGTTATCCCCCTTTGTTTACTTGCTAGCAGACGACATTTTCAGTGATCCTCAGTATGGATGATTTAGAGGAGAGGAAGTTGATTTTAGAGTATTATAACAAGGACATCAGATCAGCTAAAGTGATTTCAAGTAGAACAGGCATCCCTTTGTCCACTGTTTATCGTGTTTTGAAAAATATTGCAAATGGATATGGCATTGAGCGCCAGGGAGGCGCAGGTAGGCCCAGAAAATTGACTGTCGGTGACAGGAGGCCGTTTGGTATTCTTGTTTCTAAAAACAAACGAAGGAGTTTAGAAAACTTAAGGCTGGATATGATTGATAGAGAAACTGTGGCTGTCTGTAAGGAGACAATTAGAACTGAGCTGCATGCAATGGGTTGGCAGAAAAGTCAAGGAATTCCATCACCGATCATGAAACCTGAACAAAAGGAGCGAAGGTTGAACTGGTGCTTACAGCATAGAAATTTTAACTGGGACAATGTGATTTTCTCAGATGAAAGTTCTGTGTGGCTGTTTCCTAATACACTGAAATTCTGGACCAAACAAACTGAAAAACCTTTGTATCAGCGCCCAAAGTACAGTCCGATATTTAACGTGTGGGGTGGCATATCTGTGTTAGTGGCAACGCCCCTCTGTGTATTTGAATGGAATATGAACAGTGAGCTGTACACAGATATTCTCGTGGGACATTTACTTCCATGTGCTCACGTGTTCTATGGACATTTTTGGATTTTCCAGTAGGACAACAGCCCAAAACATCGTTCAAAGCATTCACAGGCCTGGTTTCTGACCCAAAATATGGCATTATTAGATTGGCCAAGCTATAACCCTGACCTAAATCCAATAGAAAATGTATTGGGACTTACGGAGGAAAGTGTCAATAAGAAAAATCTGACAAATATTGCTGAAATGAAAGAAGAGGTGGTCCGATATTGGGACAGCATGGACCACGACTTTCTAACTTCTTTGATCAATAGTATGCCCCGCCGCATTGAAGCCTTCATTGCTGCCCATGGTGACTTGACAAAATACTAACTGTTCACCTGTCTTTGAATCTGGAGTTATGTTCTGCTAATATTCACATTTATACGTGAGTAATGAGTGAAAAAACAACAACATTACAATCTTAAATTGTACTGTATATCCTTCATACCGAGCACAGGGAAGGTCATTCGTAACTACTCGTCCCTTTCCGTAACCTGAAAGAAGACTCGTACCCCTCACGTAGCCATTTTACTGAACTTGACTCTGTCTGAGCGCAAAAACGCAGAGAGAAAGAAATAGTCTAGTCGCCGAACTATTTTCAAGGGCATGTAACTCTAGTTTACTTGGAAAACAAACATTGCATCCACGCCAAGGAAATTATCTCAAAGGGTATGTTTAACATGCTTAAATACTTTCCTACGCCAGTAGGAAAATATACTTGAAGTGTCTGGGAAAAAATTATGCAAGCCGAAATGAAAATTGTTTCCAACTAACTATTTTGACCCAATTTCTTCTCTACATACGCGCATTCTGATTGGCTGGGGGAATATTTCTCCCGGACATGTCTACGAGAGGGGTACGAGTCATCTTTCAGGTTAGGGAAAGGGACGAGTAGTTACGAATGAGGCAAGGTAACAATAGAAATAAGTCAATATGACGCCAGAGCTATTGACATCCCTGTATGCTATTGAGTTAATTAATTACTAAAGTCTAGCGACAACAAACATGACTTTATCAAATCGAAATCTGAGAAGTTTTAATATCGCCTCACCCGATAATCCTTCGTATGACCACCATAGCGCCCAAGGATCTGGAATAAAGAGCAAAGAAAATTATTTTGATTCAAAATATTTACAAATTGATTATGAAATGTGATAGCGACGACTTTAGCACAGCTCTGCAGGGTAGTTTCGACCTCAGCAACTTCTGTCAACAGTTGCTATTATGTTGACAATCAAGGGACAAATTTGATTTTTTTCAAAGAGAGAACTACAGATTTGTTGAATGTGTGCGGGATGCAGGAGAAACGTCTTCAGCAACCTTGACCTTGACGGGTGTTTCCGCGAGAACGCCATTTCCTCACACGTATTGCCAGGAATCTTTATTGTAACTCTTCAATGATTCTTCAGCTCACCTTTTAATGAACACCTGGTGTCATCACTATTTGATAGTGAATCATAAACACATGCTCATGAAACAGTCGGAATCTTGCCATCAAATCTAATTTCACTAATGATTTCTTATAAATATGGAAAGAATTTTGCGCTTTTATTTATACACGTTTGCAGTTCCACTTTCATTGCACTCTTAGACTGACATTGATCAATGTCGTGTTGTTTATGATGAATATTTGGAACACGTATTATTACTATATCATCTACGCAACGATGATATCGTCATACATGGGCATAATGTGACACACAGTCATCATGGTCACATGGCCACCCCATCGCTAGTCTGGGTCACTCTTATTCTCCCAGTGTAGAATGACCACTATGGCGATAGAGATAGACAGCGATATTAAACGATGGTCGTGTGGTCACCCTCGATTATCCAGTCAAGCTTATATTCATTCTTATGAGAAATACCCAAGATCCATTAGTCATGTTTCTGAAGCGACCATCTCATGTGGCTAACTTTGCACGAAATTTCTTTCGCTGTTTGGTATTATTTGATTGGGATTTGATTTTTAGCAATGATTGTAACGAATGTGTATCTATCATAAAATAGAACTGAATGTTTTCTAGTCGTATGTGGAGCATATGATCAATCTATAAATATGACATGTGCAATTGGTAGTGAGTGGGTGAGTTTGTTTAGTTTTACGACGCTTTTAGCAATATTCTAGCAATATCATGACGGGGGGCACCAGAATAGGCTTCGCACATTCTACCCATGTGAGGAATCGATGCCGGGTCTTCGGCGTGACGAGCGAACGCTTTAACCCCAAGGCTACCCTACTGCCTCTGTGCCATTTGTACATGCGGGTATGTAACTATAGGTGGATTTTTATTAACGTTGCAGTATATCAGTTAAATTACAACGATTAATGTTGCTTTAAGGAATATTTAAGTTAAATTACAACGATTACCGTTGCTATAAGCAACATTTAAGTTAAATTACAACGATAACTGTTGCTTTAAGCAATATTTAAGTTAAATTACAACGATTACCGTTGCTTTAAGCAATTTTTCAGTTGAATTACAAGGATCAACGTTGCTTTAAGCAACATTTAAGCTAAATTACAGCAAGGGTCCAAAGTAGCAGTGTCATAGATTTAATACAAAAAAAGTATGGTGCTTCTCTACAAACTAAGATTCGTTCCAGAATCAGCGGATCTTGCACGACTAAAGGAGACAACTCCCTCTGATACATATAAAATAATTTGACAGTAATCCTTATTCAAAACAGCCACATTTTGCCTCAATACCACTGAGATATTGCAATTCATTTCTCGGCTCACACCTTTTCAAAATCAGAGTGTTGTAGATATTCTGCCTAAGTGCAATATGAGCCAAAGCTTTAATGGTACGTTTGGTCGATGCTGCTCTTTTGCCTCGTCTAATGGATTTTGGATCATGATGAATCTACATTTACATTGGAGACAGAATTGTAAGCATGCTCAGTCACAGGGGACTGACATAATCTGTAATATGAAGATGCCGTGCTCTGGTAGACATGCGTCATCTGTCAAGCTTCATTTCCTGATTCAAGTCAGTCCAGACTGTTGTAGCTCTGTCCATCATGTACTGACACTATTATCTCTGGTGCTGTTGTAACACGTTAATCACTTGCAAGTGTCCACATTGTTGTGATTGTTAACCCTTCACCAAACAGACAACTCTGTACTGTACTTACATTTCAAGACGGGGTGGGTTCGGGGTGGTAGCCTAGCGGTTAAGGTGTCCGTTGTTCAAGCCGAAAACCTGGGTTCGATTACATATCTGTGTACAGTTGAGTGAGTGAGTTTAGTTTTACGCCACACTCAGCAATATTCCACCTATATGGCGGCGGTCTATAAGTAATCGAGTCTGGACCAGACAATCCAGTGATCAACAGCATGACCCTCGATCTACGCAACTGGGATACGATGACATGTGCCAACCGAGTCAGCGAATCTGACCACCTAATACTGTTAGTTGCCTCGTACGACAAGCATGGAATACTGAAGATCAATTCTGACCCGGATCTTCACGGGTCTATGGGTACAATGTCTGAAGCTCATGAAGATCCCTGAAGATCCGGTGTAGAATTGATCTTCAGCAACCCATGCCTTTCGAAAGAGATGACAAACAGGATCGGGTTGTGATTTGGTTGATGTCACTGAATCAGAGTTACGAAAATCGATGCTCATCGATGTCGAGGAGGGTTCTCTGGTGCAGACTCGGTTACTAGATTGCCATCATATCGCCGGAAAATCGCTAAGAGCGGCGTAAAACCATATTTACTCACTAAGATTACTCAGTCCTAACTGAAAAAGGTATCATATATTGATCTATATGGGACCATAGCGATGATACGAAATGTATTATTTTTTGCGCTGGAAGTTCAGAAATAGGGTGATTGAAGTTTCAAATTAAAAAAGTGTCTTTAAGCCACTTTAGGAGAATATAATGGTATATCTCCATCGTATATTTTGTCTTTCATAAGTCTTTTTCAGAATGTTATGTTATAGTGATTTATTTGAATTTATACTAAAATGACATATAAGTTTCGCAGCTACCCGAAGGTGTTTACAGTCCTGTATACAATCAGTGCACCTCAAACATTAGAAGGGAGTATTGCTTAATGTGTGTCTAACAGATCAATTATATGATAACTAAGCAGAGTATTAGAGTTATTTTTTCCTTCTCACGTACAAGAAAAATCTGAGTTTGTCACGGTGTTCGCATTTCTTCTCACATTAACCAAGTCTCATAGTATATGACAACAGTAAATTATCCTTACGACAATATAAAAAATATCTCATCATGATTTTTTGTAGGAATGCAATTTGTAAATGTGAACGTGTTCTTAATGTTATTTTTTCTAACTCAAAAGAAACTGGTGCACAGCTTCAGAAGTTACGACACCTTGACTTTATAAGAGACATATAACAGATGACATTTGTTTTGAAAATATATATTGGAGCCGTGATGCATTCATGAAACGATAAAACTTCACTGAATGGGGTGTTGGGATGCCTAATGGTTAAAGCGTCCGCTCTTTATGCTGAAGACCCGGGCTCAATTCTCCACATGGGTACATTGTGTGAAGCCCATTTCTGGTGTCCCCCGCTGATATTGCTGGAATATTGCTTAAAGCGGCGTAAAACTATACTCACTCACTCACACACTGAGTGGGTGACGCTGATGTATCGTTATTTTAATAAGTTTGATAAGTTGAAAGGAAAGTCGTTAGTAAAGTCTCAGAGTTCATCACCTTAGAGACACCAGCGAGGCCGACTATTGCGCCGACAAAATTAGAAAAATAACCAGGCGAACAGGGATTCGTACTGTCGATTATAGATTCCAGGCGCGCATAAGGGACGCAACTCTTCACAGCGGCGCCTCAAACGACTTGGCCACCCGTGACAGCTCGCGCACCGAGTGAGTAAGGGAGTAACTGTTGCTTTAAGCCGCATCAGGAATTGTGCAGCTATTCGCGGCTAGTGGTACACTGAGAACATGCATTGCGAGTATATATACTAAAAAATAGTTTTCCGGATTAGTTTTCAATGCAAGCAAATTAATGCAACATTAGGAATGAGGTATGTTCTAATGATCTAATAAAGTTTACTTGTGCAGATGAAACAGATTGGTTGATAAACACTGATGAAATCGAAATCATGTAAACGTTAATATCACCACACATGCATAAATCCATTTACAAAGAAATATTGTGCAAGAAACAATATGAGAAATTACTCCTTTCGACAGCCTTGTTTTTTTGTTTTGTTTAACGCCGCTCTCAGCAATATTCCCGCTACATGGCTGTATTCTTGTTTAAAATTGATAATTGCAAAATATTGAATCACCATTAGATACAGACTATTATAGAGATTCTGCCGGGTCGATTCAAATGGCTCACTCGTTGTTGAACATAATGTTAAAAGCAACCTAATTTAGAGAAAGCATGGTTTAGGGAAAGTTTAAAACAAGCCCCGCGTCACTTTGAATCATACGCCACTTTGTGCAATGTCGTGGGAGGAAATCCCGTAGTTATAGTATGACCAGAAATTATTGAGAATTTTAGGAATATGTTTAATTGGATTTCTAGTATAAACAACCTTGACCAGCTATCAAGTGCTTGGTTTCATTCAAGAGAGACAACTCCGTTAATCCTTTTCATTAGTTTGTGAAGAGTTATCCCCCTTTGTTTACTTGCTAGCAGACGACAGTTTCAGTGATCCTCAGTATGGATGATTTAGAGGAGAGGAAGTTGATTTTAGAGTATTATAACGAGGACATCAGATCAGCTAAAGTAATTTCAAGTAGAACAGGCATCCCTTTGTCCAGTGTTTATCGTGTTTTGACAAATATTGCAAATGGATATGAAAATGAAATTCTGGACCAAACAAACTGAAAAAACTTTGTATCATCGCCCAAAGTACAGTCCGAAATTTAACGTTGGGGGTGTCATATCTGTGTTAGGGGCAACGCCCCTCTGTGTATTTGAATGGAATATGAACAGTGAGCGGTACACAGATATTCTCGAGGGACATTTACTTCCATGTGCTCACGTGTTCTATGGACATTTTTGGATTTTCCAGCAGGACAACGACCCAAAACATCGTTCAAAGCATTCACAGGCCTGGTTTCGGACCCAAAA